AGCCTCACACACACACACACACACACACACACACACACACACACACACACACACACACACACACACACACACACACACACACACACACACACTGTGCAGGACTCCCAGGTGTGATATTGTGTGTTCACAGGTTGGAGTTCTCAGATTGTTTTGTGTATTTGATGTAAAAGTCCTCATGTGTCTGCTTCACGTTGACTTTAGTTTTCCTGTATCTCGCTGCTGTTTCCTCTCGAGTACATTATTCTTTTATTAACTGAACAACAATGTGGATACCATCGGGCTTATGGCTGCAACTATAGTGTTTATTTTCTTCATCATTTAATTATTTCCTCAATGATCATAATGTGTCTATATAATGTGGGAAATAGTGAAATGGGCAGTCCCATGCTACATTTGTCAATGTCATCAGTTGTTTGTTTTATTCAACCATATCAGAGATATTCAGTTTACTATTTAACATTTACTACAGTTGAAAATCAAGTTTACTCTTTACCACAGTGAAATATTCAGTTTACTACCACAGAGAAAGGCAAAGCAAATTTCACATTAATGTTCTGTCTGATCGATTAATCGACAGCTCTAATTGTGACTATTCAGCGTTAAGATAACATGGGGTTTAATGTCTGATTACAATCTTGTTCACTCAAAGTCCCACAGTGAATGAAAGAATGTAAATGATCAGTGATTTTTTTTAAATAATAATATTGATAAATAAAGCAGATTTAAGTGTATATACTGATCACACTGTAGCCAAGATCTGGACCACTTATATGGTCAGTATCTCTGCTGATACGGATATTGTCTATTCAATTGGTGCAAATCTCAGTCTGCTAATTAAGGTATTTACTGTGGTACTTATTATTAGTAATTGCTTGAATATATTTTTAACATAATCCAACTTTTGAAACTTTAATTTAATATTTTTGAATGAAAATGAATGAAGAGCTCTGTCCATCTATATATCTCTTATTTCTCTTTTGACATCTCTGTGAAACACCACATTGCCATGAAACCACCTTTATTTCTACTCAACGCATCGAAGCGAAATGTATATTTGACATGTGGCTGCATGTGATGGGTTCTCTGTCTAAACCACATGTGTCTCCTGTCTCAGGGGGAAGAACGTCATGCTTCTCTCGAAGATGTCAGTCCATCAAACTAAGTGGCTTGTGATGCCGATGCCCAGTAGAAGATCCTGGGACTGAGACGTGCATCCCTTCACACTGATGGCCTGGACTGAGTAAGAAGTTCTAATCGTCAGTGTTTCATGGGCTCAAATTAGAGTCAGTAAAATGATGAACTTTTAAATTGATGCTGACAAGTAATTCTATTGTAAATCAGCACAAGATATCAAAGTTTGTACATGTGCAGAAAAGATTTGTATTGGTCATCATCCAGTGAGATTCACGAGAAAAAACTCATGCTGGTGACTTCAGTGTCACAGACAGTGTGGGACATTTAAGCGCTTTGTTTTAGTCACCGGTTTTTGTTTTGTTTCTGTTCACAGATGTTCACAAAGTGCTTCTTTTTCAGTGTATTTGTGTAACTTCGCCTCTGTTTTGCTTGATCACTAAGGCTACTTCAAACCATAAACTCTTGACTTTACAAGCTCTAAATCTTATTGACCTTAAATTGAGCCCCTAATGTTTAGTCTAGATTTGGTTGTGTTGAATAAATACATAGAAGTTGTTGACATTGTGTCGGAGAGTGTGTAATGATGTTTGCTTCCTCTGTGACAGGTTTCAGCCGGCCTGCTGAAGCTATGGGGAGCTGTTGGAGCTGTCTGTACAGAGACCCCATCCGAGACAACCATCTCACCAAATTCAAGGTAAGTAATTCAAAACATTTCTTAAGATCTGTTTGGTATTATACAGGCACCACGTGTACCGTCTGTTTCCAAATCGTTGGACTGTAATAAACTAATTTAACTTGGCACTCTTAATTCCTTCTCTTCGTGTTTTTCTGCTTTGTAGGTCACTAATGTGGATGATGAGGGCAACGAGCTGGGCTCTGGCATCATGGAGCTCACA